TTTACTTCAAAATATTTAAGAAAAAAGAAAGCATATATACTAGAATGCTAATGGTTTCTAAAACCTAATTAATAAGTGCATTTTCAAGTTTTTTTCCTGTATATAAGAACATTCACTATTTTTAATCCCTAAAATTTACATAAGGGGCTATGGTAGCATAGTGGGTACGAATCAGGCTGCTAACCTCAAGCTCGGCAGTTCGAAACTACCAGCTGTTCCACAGGACAAAGATGAGGCGTTCTACTCCCGCAAAGATTTACAGCCTCAGAAATCCTGTGCAGGGTCACTATGAGTTGGAACTGACTCCACAGTACTTAGCAACAACAACAAAGTTTACCTACAAATAACCAATGACAGCACTATATATTCATTTATGTCAGCAATGTACTGGAGTGCAAGATAAGTCTGAATCGCAAGGTCAGCATTTCAAGCTCACCTACCACTCCTCAGAAACCCTATACAGAGTTGCTATGAGTCGAAACCGACTCGAAGGCACTTAACAACAACATATCAACAAAGTTCTTTTAAGTGGAAAAATAATATATATATGCTAAAATATAAATATAGTTCCTTGTCCAGAAGCTTACGAGGCATACAGTGCTTTATGCTGCCACCCATCTGAAAAGAGGTGACAACTTGAATACACTCACCTGAAATTAAACCCAGAAAAAGGAATTGAATTATTTACAGCAATTATTTACAACATGAGGGAAAAAACACCAAAACTCCAGATATAACATTTTAAGATAAAGAATTACGATTATTCAATTTTTTTACTATTTTATAACATCTAAAACCATTGCCATTAAATTGGTGATTTTATAGTATATATACTTATTATTTTAGAAAATAGTTAAATAATTATAATATATATCTAATTATAATAAGATCTGAAAAATAAGTCTCTTTCTCAATTTAACCAAAGAATAATCTGGAAAGTGGACAGCATAACCAAAGATTTGGAGGCAGTTTTAGAAAAATTGATAAAAATCTTAGTGGATTGCCTAGAACTCATAATGTAGTCTCCACTGCTCTAGATTCCCTACAGTTCTATCAACATAGTAACTTTCTTCTTTCCATCTTTTCATTCTTCTATGTGTAAGCACACAGTCCCTTCTTCTGAAAGCACACAGTCTAGTGGTAGAGATCATTCTCACGGTAATAGCCTCTTGGCTCTTCTATAATCTCAGAATACAAAATGGTTTTATAAAAACAAATCACTCTTATAAAGAACTGTGCTGTAATATTATCCTTACTCAATAACTCCCTGGGAATTTCGCCTTTCCACACCTCTTCTCCATTCTACATCTGACTTACCTGTTGCCATCGAGTCCATTTTGAATCCCAGTGACCCTGTAAGACACAGTAGAACTCTGTCCTATAGGGTTTCCAACGCTGTAATATTTACATAAGTAGACTGCCAATCTTTCTCCTTTGGAGTGGCTGGTGAGTTCTAACCGCCGACCTTTCAGTTACCAGCTGGGTGCTTAAGCACTGTGTGACCAGGGCTCCTTACATCCTACTTCAGTTAGTTTTAATGATTTGCTATACCTTGCCAAGGTAGTAGTTTTCAAGTTTAAATGACAAACATTCTCAAACACGAAGAATCTACAAGCCTTTCTTGGAGGAAGAGTTCCTAGAAAAGAGGAAAGTGAAAGAAAGAGACTAAATCAGTTTATCTGTGTTCTAGAAAAAAAAAAATTATTTGGACATGCGGGGCCGACTAAGCAGGAATGGTCTTCACTTATAAATGAGGAAAATCTAGCATAGAAAGGTTAATATTTACCCAAGGTTATATAATTACTAAGTGATACAGCCAGTATTGAATAAAATTCCTTTCTCTTGACTCACTGCCAAATGCTTAATTAGACCATGATCCTGTACAAAGTTCTTCAGTTTGGCTTTATGAAACTTTTTAACCAAACATCACCACAAGTAATCCTGCCACCAGTCATTTCTTCTTGAATATGTACCCTTCATTTAAAGGGCTCTTTCAATTGTACATTTTCAAGGTCTATTTTAACATAAAATTTATACTTTTATCAACAGACCAAATGATTGATCTCCTGGAATCCTGGTTACACATAGTGTGTTACACGTTGAACTGTTAACTTGCAGGTTGGCAGTTCAAACCCAATAGCTGCTCCATGGGAAAAAGCGGCGGTTTTATGCTCCCTTAAGATTTACAGCCTCAGAAATTCCATACAGGGTCACTTTGAGTCAGAATCTAAGTGATGGCAGTGGATTTGGTTTTTCTGGATGTGGGAGATTTCTATCCTTATTGGCCAGAAATATATAATGAAATACTTCTTCCTGTAGCTTCCAGAAGAACTAAATTCCCAAAATAACATTTCAAAATGAACCTCAGGTTACAGCTACAAAGGTATTAACACTATTTAGTAAGGCAGACTTTACAATTCCTATTGGCATTAATACCTCGGGTACAGTCAAGATTGCACTAAAAGCATAGAGTGCAACTGTGCTACTGTCATTCCCCCATTAAAATCAGCAAGGTAATGGAATGGGTGCTGTGGAGTTTGCCAGTATGATAGCACTTAATGAGCTCTTACTGGGACAAGCAAGTTCTAGTTTAATTAAGCTTTCTAAAATGATTAATTTGACCTTTATAAAATCTATGTAGTATCATTACCCCCTTTTCACAGATCAAAATTGAGGCTCAAAATTATGGAAAGCCATATATAGTTAATGAAGCCTTTAGGATTTCAATATTTGTAATCTTCTGTGATTTCTGAAGATAAATTCTGTTCCTGATTCACTTTTGAATTCTCTGACCTTTTCAACATCTCTTTCACTATTTCATCATCCTCTGTTCAACATCTCTCCCCTTATTTCACATGCTCTTCTGGGGCAATTTAACTTCCTCCCGTATTTTCAACTACATTTTATGCTCTTATTATTGTTTCTCAACTCCTTAAATTTTTGGATAAAGCTAAAAAATCTTATGATTGCTCTTCTTTAACTTATATTTTGAAAGTAGTTTTTTTTCCAAAGAAAGAAAAATAATATTGAATGTTTGTTCAAATTAACCTTCTACTACCTCTCAAGATCGGATTTGTCTCTCAAATCCTCATGACTGATTTGTCTCTAAAATCGGTCTCACTCTCACTTAACTCTCTATTTCTCTCTCTCTCTAGCCTGCACAGCTTATCTCCAACTAACTTCATGAATATCTCCCCAGGCCCTTCAGCCTATACTTACTCAAAACAAAGCTCTCATTTCCTTCAGTAAACCATATTCATTTCTGCGTTCTTCATTTTGGCTAACAGTCTGGTAGCGGAGGAGCGGGTATAAGTTGGTCTACTCACCTCAAGGTCAGCAGTTCAAAACTACCAGCGGTTCTGCGGGAGAAAGATGAGGGTTTCTGCTCCCATAAATACTCATAACCTCGGAAAATCTATACAGGGTCGCTGTGAGTCGGAACCGACTCCACGGCACATCACCACCAGCATCAAAACAATATGCTCTGGTCTATGCTTTAAAATACTTATTTGCAAAACGATAGTATAACACTCTTTTGATACGTTATATAAAAATCCAACACTAAACAGTGAGTGCCTATCACAGACAAGTTATTATACAATATACCACCCTTATCCTCCATAAGACGACCGCCCCCAACCCAACTGTGTGTATAAAGCATTTTATCATTTACAAAGCACTCTTTCATAAACATTTTTAATTCTCACCATATTTTAATTATAAATCTATTTTTATTCTCGTTTTAAAAACTCAGGCTAAAAATGATTAGGTAATTTAAACAAAGTCTGATTATCACCAGTGGTCGGTTGAGGATCCAAAACCCAAGACTTCAGATTTCAAATTTCACTCCCTTTCCAATGTTAGTGATATAAACGTACACACAATTAAAACAGAAGCCTCTGCCCGACAGACCTCAAATGTGCACGGCTCACTGTCAAATGCCAAAGGGCACTAACAATCTGCAGGCGCTCAGGAGCGGCGTTTCTGTTAAGGCGGGGGACAGCCAGCTCCCGCCCCTCTGCCTCTCTCACTCCGCGAAGTCCGCCAGCGGCCTGTCCCCAGTCGGCGGGCTTAGGCGGCCGCGGGAAAACCACGCTCTACGACCCGAAGCGCATTGGGCAGAGGCTGCAGCCTCCTTCTCCTGCCCCACGTTGAGTTAGAGGTTGTCCGCAGCCGATAGGCCCCCGGCCTCCCGATAACGACTCTTAGGCTATAAGCGTACCTAATGGAGGAGGTGACCGGAGGGCAGGAGATGCCAGCAACGCTAATAACCTTGAAGAAAGGTTGGGCAGGCCTCCAGCACTAACTGCATCCACTAGGTTTGGTCAATGCGCAGCCAGCAAGGCTCTAGAAGGCTGCGACAAGACCTAGCACGGCAAGGAACAACCACTGGACTCTAAATGCTGAGGGCATCGCAACTGGGGACAGAACTGGGAGGTGACGCGATGCGACGCGAAGGGGCGGGCACGACGGGGGTAAGCGGGGTGCGAGGGGGCGGGACGTGAGACGCGAAGAGGCAGGAGTGAGGGGGTGGGGGCAGCGTCGCGAGAAGGCGGGCCCAAGGAGAAGGGAGCGCGGCGTGAGGCGGACTCAAGGGAAGCGGCGCGCGACTCCAGGAAGCCGACTTTCGGGTCAATTGGCGCGAGAAAGCAGGCACGACGGGGGCGGGGAAAGAGAAGACGGGCACGTAGGGGCGGGGCGCAGCGCGCTGCGTGCGTGCGTGCGAGCGGGCGGGGTGCGCGTCTCGGTGCCGCGGCTGCGTGACGCGTTTTCAAATCTTCAACCGCCGCAGCCCACTTGCTTGTGCTTTGCCCGTTCTTCTTCCGCGCCTTGTCTTCGGAAACCCGGCCCGCAGACTCGACGTCTCTGTTACGTGTTGGATGCTGGCCAAGGAACGTTAGGGGCAGCGGGCCTGTTACAGGACAGGTGAAGCCGTGTTTTCGCGGCCGCCCGGCGCTACCCCACCTCCGGACTCAGTATGTAGGTGCCGGGCGGCTGCCATGAACTCTAGAGCCATGAGGATCCACAGCAAAGGACATTTTCAGGGTAAGAAGCCCCTCCTCCGTCTGCAGGCCATTTAATCCTCTCCTTCCTTAATGGCTCCCCCATTGATTGTTCAGAGATTTCGGGCTGGACCCACCTTTTCTTCCCCCGGTCGTACGTCTCTCCTCTACTGTGGAAAAGGGGCCTCCAGGAAGCCTCGGGTCAAGGTTTTCCCTCAGGAAGGACCGGGGCGCGACCAGGCCTTAAAACTGGGTCTGCGCTTGGCTGTAAAACGGAAACACGGCGGACCCCAGAATTCACGGGCCCACAGATGCTGGGACTCGGCGCCTCACCTTTTAAGCTCCTTGTGACTTTTCATTTCGTGAACTACTAGCATTTTTGGTTTTATTGTTTTAAGTGTATGTTCCTTCACTCATAAAGTTACGAGAAAGTGTATTCAAATGTTGAATTCCAACATTATGGGCAAATAGGGAAACAAAAGCCGGTTGCCATTTTCCATCACTTATTTGGTAAAATAAGGAGCTCTGGTAACTAAGTGGTTACGAATCGGGCTGCTAACCTCAAAGTCAGCGGTTCGAAACTACCAGCTCTTTCGCGGGAGAAAGATGAGGCTTTCTGCTCCCGTAAAGATTTACAGCCTCGGAAACCCTGTACAGGGTCGCTATGGGTCGGAACCGACTCTACGACACATAACAACAACATTTGGTAAAGTAGTTCAGTCCCCAAGTTTTTCTTTGTTGTTTTTATGTGCCGTGGAGTCGGTTCCGACTCATCAGCGACCCTGTACAGGGTTTATATATATGGCAGCTTCCAAGTTATGTGCAGATTGTACTCAGGTTTGTTTTCATTGGCAATAATGACGTGAATGGTGATTGGTTCTTGAATGAACCGTAATAGTTTGCTCATAATTTAGAAACTAAAACTTGCATTTATGAATTCTTGAGGACTAAGTCCATCCTGGGTAACAGAAGTGTAGTTATTTTAGGCACCAGTTTTGATTGTTCAGCAGAATAGCAAATGCATAAATGCCCCCATATATTTACATTCTAAGCAGGAAAATCTTTATAAAAGGTTTTGTGCCTTAGTGTAAAAAAAAAAAAAGTTCCTGTAAAGACTCTTCTGTAAAAAGTAATTACTTAACAATATTTGTTGTTATAAAGTGTCATGGCGACCCTGTATAGGGTTTCCGAGGAGACGAGTGGCTGGTGAGGTTGAACTGCTGACCTTGTGGTTAGCAGTCTAGTGCTCATACTTCAGCTCCACACCAGGACTCCACTTAGTATAGGGCGTGGCGCTATAGGATCAGCACTGCACACCACAAGGTCAGCAGTTTAAGGTCACCAGCTGCTTCTCTGAAACCTTATACAGGGTCACTATGAGTCCCAGTTGACTTGATGGCACTTAACAACAACAGCAAACTGCAGAAACCTTTTTCTTGTATCCTAAGTAGAACTACAAAGAAATACATTGAAAGCTGTTGTCCTTAAATGCCATCAAGTCGATTCAGACTCATAATGATCTGTGTACAGTATATAGGGTTTCTGAGGTTGATGAGTTTGAACCACCGACCTTACATTTCATACCGACATTGAGATCAAGGTTCAATGCGTGTCCTAAGTGCCACACCTGGACTTCATTAGAAAGCTAATCACTATAAAATTAGAAGGATTATAAGTATTTTCCCCTTTCTGATACTGTTATTCAATGAAATATTGTTAAAAATTGAACATTTTCTGTTGGCATAAATCATGATCTAATTCTGAACATTTTTAGTAACAGGTGGGATCCAAGTCAAAAATGAAAAAAACAGACCATCTTTGAAATCTCTGAAAACTGACAACAACAAATCAGAAAAATGCAAATATAAACCACTTTGGGGGAAAGTATTTTACCTTGATTTACCTTCTGTTTCAATAGCTGAAAAACTGCAAAAAGACATTAAGGATCTAGGAGGGGTAAGTGAAAACCACTTTGACAAAAAAATAAATAAAAAGGGGAAACAATTTTTTTTTTTTCTTTTTAAGTAGTCCTTTCTAATATGCAACCATAAAATTTTTCATTTTGGAAAACTTGTAACCATCTGTTAACCCAAACTTAAAAGTTTTATCAGTTCTTATTGGTTAGAGAAAAATTTGTTTTAACCTTTTATAGACTGACAGAACTTTCAGATCTTTGTAATTTGGTGTTAAGTGTCATCAAGTTGGTTCCAACTCATAGTGAGTGACCTATAGAGGGTTTCGAAGGAGGGACTGGTGATTTTGAACCACGGACGTTGAGGTGCCATACCAGGACCCTGTAATTTATAGTCTAGTGTAAAATCCCCAAACTTTAAGAAAGGAGACTCTCCTACTCTGGTGGAGCCACTGATTGTGTTATGATGCTGGGATATCCTCTATATAGCAGGAACTGTTGGTTTTGGTTTTTGAGGAACTCTCTAAATTTGTGTGGAGTAGATTTCAAAGAGTATGACAGCAAGGATGTTACTACAGGCCATGGAAGACCAGTTCAAACCATAGTATTAAAATTGCTTTTGAGAGGTAGGATTGGGCTCAACAGAATATATGATGCAAAGGTAACAATTTTTAATTAGGAATTTGAAAAAAAACAAACTACTTTCTTACATTGCACATTGTTATTAGCTACCTTTGAGTTGATTTTAAACTCATAGCAACGCCATGTGACATGTTGGGAAATCCTGTACCGTAGGATTTTCTAGGCTACAGTCTTTAAGCAAAGCCATTTGACTGTGTGGACCAGTTAACAGTGTGAAGAATTGGAATTTCAGAACATTGAATTGGTACCATGTAGAACCTGTTACATAGACCAAAAGGCAATCGTTCGTACAGAGTAAAGGGACATTGAGTGGTTTAAAATCAGAAACAATGTACATCAGAGTTGTATCCCTTTACCATACTTATTCACTGTGTATGCTGAGCAGATAATCTGAGAAACTGGACTATGTGAAGAAGAATGTGGCTTCAGGATTGGAGGAAGACTTATTAACAACCTATGATGTGCAGATGGCACAACTGTGCTTGCTGCAAGTGAAGATGACCTTAAACATTTACTGATGAAGATCAAAGAAATATATTGAAACCTAGGTAACCCTTCAGTATAAATTACACTTCGATGTAAAGAAGAAATATATACAACTGAAGAAATAAATAACATTATAATAAACAGAAAAGATTGAAGTTAGAGTTCTCATTTTATTTAGATCCAAATCCAATGCCCATGGAAACAGCAGTCAAGGAGTCAAACGGCATACTGCATTGGAAAAATCTGTGAGAGATATCTAACAAATACTAAAGAACAAAGATGTCGGTTTGAGGAGCAAAGTGAGCCTGACCCAAGACACGTAATTTCTATCAACACATGCATGGACAATGAAAAAGAAAGACCAGAGGAGAATTGATGCATCTGAATTGTGGTGCTGGTAAAGAATACTGAATATTGAATATACCTCAGTGGACTATCAGAAGATACCTGTTTTGTAAGTGCAGCCAGAATACTCCTTAGGAGCAACTATGGTGACTTAGGCTCTCGTACTTTGAACGGCTATCAGGAGAGACCGGTTCCTGCAGAAGGACATCTTGTTTGGTAAAGTGGAGGGTTAGGGAAAAAGAGAAAGACTGAAGGAGATGGATTGACACAGTGACTGTCACAATGGGATCAAGTATAGCATATATTGTGAGGATAGTGTAGGACTGGGCAGTGCTTTGTTCTGTTGTACATGGAGTCAGCAACTTGATTACAGACACCTAATAATGATTTTGGGGAGGGGGGGGGAAGCGAGTAGATCGATTGCCAGGTCTTTACTGAGTAGATCCAAATTAACCAGCCCTTTTTTTGTTGTAAATAAATAAAGCTTGATTCTTAAGGGGAAAAAAAATTACCAACCTCTAGGCTGGTAGCAGAGTGCTTAACCTTTGTGCCACTAGGGTTCACTGAGAATATGATTGTTGTTACGTGCTGTCAAGTCATCACTATCCTGTTTCTGAGGAGTACCTGGTGGGTTTGAACTGTTGACCTTGAGGTTAGCAGTCCATTGCTTATCCTACAGGGCCACCTAGGACTCCTGGTTAGGTAATTTTAAAATTAGGGCCAAATTCTGATAATTTTCTTAGGATCAAAGTTAATATTGGATGAATCATAGTGAGGATTTTATTAATGTATTTCTTGAAGATTTTCATATTCCTGCTTAAAAGGTTTGCTTCTGCTGGACTTTGAGTTTCTCAGGGTTAGAATCTTTGAATAAATGTTTACTGAATAGATTCTTTGAATTTCAAACTAGAAATTTTTAAGAGAATATGTGATAAGTTTCCTGAAATTTTGTGTTGATGTATTTGTTTACCTATCTTTGAAAAGTGATTTTAACTTCTTTTTTACTATTCAATTTGTTAAACAAAAACATTGTCACATGCTTCTAATAGTAACATGAATCATAACGACTATATGGCTGTATTTCATCTGTCAATAGTGTCTTAGTGCTGAAAACCTTAGCTGTTATGTATAGACCTCTTCAGTCACACTTCATTTCAGAAGTGAGGTACTGAGGTCCAAAAAATAAAAAAAATTTCTAACCTTCAGGCTAGTAGCAGAGTACTTAACCTTTGTGCCACTAGGACTCACTGATAAAATGATTGTTGCTAAGTGCTGTCCATCCAGAGAGGTTAAATAACTGGTCCTTGATTAATCTCCTAAATCCCAGAGTAATTTACCATTGTTCCAGTCTATTCTTCTAGCATTGACTATAAAGTAGCTCTTTTGATGTAGTTTGACAGCTTTTCCAAAATTGGTGAATTACCCATTAAGCTCTTTATCTAAATCAGTGCTTTGCAGACTTGTGTTTTTAGCAGTGAAACCCTCCAAATTGAATGAGGGGTTTCAAAAGGGCTTGGAAAAATAGAATTAAAAGTGTAGTTTTTCCATGAACTTTTTGAAGCCCTGTTGTATTTAGAAACCTTAAAGTGTAAAGCACAATTCAAAAAGCAAATTACTCTTGAAAAAACAGTACAGAGGCATAAAACCAGGGACCACCTACCCCTCTTCCTTTCTGGCTCACCTTCCATCCCACAGCAGTTCCTAAGGCCCTTCTGAAACAATAAAATTTCAAAATTACTTCCCTATTTTAAAAAGAACTTCTTAAAAATATACTTTAGATTTTTATCCTAAAATGTTGTTGTTAACTGTTAACAAGTCTGTTCCAACTCATAGCAACTCTGTATAGGGTTTCTGGGGAGCATCTGGTGAATTTGAACTACCTACCTTATGGTTGAATGTTTATCCTACAGCGCCATACCAGGACTCTAACGTTGTTGATAAGTGTTTCCAAGTCGGTTATGACTCATAGTGAACCCTGTATTGGGTGTCTCCGGAGTAGCTGGTGGGTTTGAGCTGCTGACCTTGCCCAGTGCTGATCTTACAGTTGCCATACCAGGCATCCAGGACTCTAATAGACCAATTAGGGGAATATATTAAGAGGACTGCTAAATGCAAAATTGGGGGTTCAAACCTACCAGCTGCTCCTTAGAAACGCTATACAGGGTTGCTGTGAGTAGGAACTGACTTGATAGCACTTAGCAACAGTTAAGAGCATCTTGTTAGGTGCCATTGAGTCGGTACCTTATACACAGCAGAGCAAAACACTGCCCGATCCTGGTCCAACCTCACTACTATTCCCAAGCTTGAATCCATCGATGCTGTCACTTGGCCAATCCATCTTGTTGGGGTCTTCTTTTTTTCTCTGATATCCTTCTCCAGTGACTGGTCCCTCCTGACAATATGTCTGAAGTATGAGAGACGAAGGTTGGCCATCTAGGCTGCCAAGGAGTACTTTGGCTGCACTTCTTCAAAAACGGATCTGTTGGTTCTTTTGGCAGCCCATGGCACTTTCAATATTCTCCTCCAACACCATAACTCAAAAGCATCAATTCTTCCACGGTCTTACTTATTCACTGTCCAGCTTTCACATGCATATGAAGTTATTGAAAATGCCATGGCTTGGTCAGGCGCACTTTAGTCTTCAAGCTGACATCTTTACTCTTCAACACTTTTCTTGATGCTTTTTGCATCATTCAGTGATTTGCCCAGAGAATCTTTCAATAACAAAACTCAAGGCTTGAATTTTTTTCTTAAGTCTCCCGGTTTGAGAAATGCTGAGCGTGTTCTTCCATTTTGGTTTTCTGATTCCAGATCTTTGCACATTTTGTTGTAATATTTGGCTTTATCTTCTCGAGCTGATCTTTGAAATTTTCTGTTCAGCTCTTGGACCTCCTAATTTCTTCCATTTGCTTTAGCATCTCTATGCTGGAGAGCAAGTTTCATTGTCTCTTCTGACATCCATTTTACCTTTTCCTTTTTTCTTGTCTTCTCAAATACTTTTTGCTTCATGTATAATGTTCTTGATGTAATCCCACAATTCTTCTCGTCTTCGGTATTTAGTGTTTAATGTATCAAATCTGTTCTTTAGATGATCTCTAAATTCAGGTGGTATATATTCAAGGTCATATTTTGGCTCTCGTGGACTTGTTTTCATTTTTGTCAGCTTTAGTTTGAATTTGCATATGAGTATATGATGGTCTGTTCCACAATCTGCCCCTGGCCTTGTTTTGATTGATGGTATAGAGCTTTTCCATCTTCTCTTTCCACAGATGTAGTCAATTTGATTTCTATGTATTCCATCTGGTGAGGTTCATTTGTAGAATTGTTACGCTGTCTAGAGAAGGTATATGAAATGAACAAATCATTGATTTTTGCAAAATTCTGTCATGCGTTCTCCAGCATCATTTCTATTACCAAGGCCATGTTTTCCAACCACTGATCCTCTCTCTTTGCTCCCAACCTTTGCATTCCAATCACCAGTAATGATCAATACGTCTTGATTGCATGTGTAATCCATTTCAGGTTGAAGAAGTTGGTAGAACTCTTGTATTTCATCCTCACTGGCTTTAGTGGTTGGTGCGTAAATTTGAATAATAGTGGTATTAACTGGGCGTCCCTATGTTGTTAAGTGCCGTCAAGTTGGTTCTGACCCATAGCGACCCTGTAGGTGCATGGATATTACACTGTCACAGACAGCAGTGTACCTCATGACTGATCTGGATAATGTTCTTTTTGACAATGAATGCAACACCATTCCTCTTCAATTTGTCATTGCTGGCATCATAAGCCAGATTCAAAATGGCCAATTCCAATCCATTTCAGCTCACTAATGCCTAAAATATCCATGTTTATGCGTTCCATTTCATTTTTGACAACTTCCAATTTTCCCAGATTCATACTTCGTACATTCCATGTTCCAATTTTCAGTGGATGTTTACAGCTGTTTCTCTTCATTTTGAGTTGGGCTCCATCAGCAAATGAAGGTCCCGTGGGCTTTACTCCAATCGCGTCATCACGTTCAACTCTACTTTGAAGAGGCAACGCTTCCCCACTCACATTTTGAGTGCCTTCCAACCTGAGGGGCTTCCAGCACTGTATCTGACAGTGTTTCTCTGCTATTCTTAAGGTTTTCAGTGACTAAATGGTTGGAAGTAGTTTGTCACTCCTTCTTTCTAGTCTGTCTTCATCTGGAAGCTCATCTGAAACCTGCCCACCACGAGTGACCCTGCTGGTATTTAAAATACCAGTGGCATAGCTTTCAGAATCACAGCAACTGACAAGCCACCGCTGTACGACATATTGACAGACGAGTGATGGAGTTAAGAGCATAGGTTTCCAAATATTCCTAAGTCCTTTTTTTGTCTCTGGCACATTGCCTTTTGTGTCACTAACACAGGCTTTTCCATGATGGTCTCTTTCCAACATGAACTGTAAAGAAACTTTTATCTCTAAATATGAAGGGTATTAGGATTCATCTTTAATAAATATGATTCTCAGTTATTTACTCCTTAAATTATTTTATTTCTATGTTTAAATGTTATTTAGGCTCTTAATTCTTCTTATAATTATCTTATTCAGGTAATTACTGGTATTGCCTTTTGTTTAATTAGCCTTTTAATATATATTTGCTTCTCTAGTCTTAAATAAAAACATCTTAATACCCCATTTCTGTGAAGAATACACATCTGATATACTTAGCACAGCAGTGAATTCTGAAATCTTGTATCTTTGAATAGAGGCAAGGAAAATAGCAGTTATAAATACTATCTAAGAAGGACATAATGGAGCTCTGGTAGCATAGTGGTTACGAATCGGGCTGCGAACCGTAAGGTCAGCGGTTCGAAACTACCAGCCGCTCCACGGGAGAAAGATGAGGCTTTCTACTCCCGTAAAGATTTACACCCTCGGAAACCCTGTACAGGGTCGCTATGGGTCGGACCCGACTCGATGGCACTTAACAACAACAACAACAAGAAGGACATAAAGGATCCCTGGTAGTGGTAACATCTGGCTAAGTGTTGGGCTGCTAACTGCAAGGTCATTCCTTCAAACCCACCAGCTGCTCCTTAGGAGAAAGATGAGGCTGTCTGTTCCCATAAAGATTTACTATCTTGGAAACCCTAGGGAGCAGTTTTACTTTCTTCTGTATTGTCAATGTGGGTCAGAATTGATTCAGTGGCAGTGGGTATAAAGAGGACATGAAACCAACCACGTTTAGGTTAATTATTTGAACAGTTTGACTGTTTAAATAATTAGCAGCCTGATTGTTTAAATGAGATCGAGAACCTATACTAGTGAACATAAGAGAGTCCAAGTATAAATCACACAGTACACTTGGGATTTCCATGTGTGAGAATCAGTCCATGGTAATAATCCCATCACACGATAGCCTTTGGATGTGTTTGGTCCTCAGAATGTTTTCAGTTCTGACTCATAGCAACATTATATAGGGTTTTCCAGGTGCAGCTGGTGGATCTGAACTGCCAATTTAGTGATTTGTAGTTCATTGCTGATCCTACAGCACCTATTTAAATTTTAATTACTGACCTTGTTTTTGGGCTTCCCTTGGAAAATTGGAATCTCTGGCAGTATAAGAAAATGAAAAAGAACTTGATGTGTAAATTTATTGTTTCATTCATTTGTAGTCCTTCCTAGACCTTGTAGGCATTTAAGTTTGCAGTAGTGGTGGTAGTAGTATGCCAAGGAGTCAGTTCCAACTCAAAGCAACCTTGCATAGGGTTTCAAAAGCGGCACATCTTACAGGAGCAGAAAGCATCATTTTTCTCCTGCGGAACAGCTGGTAATTTCTAACTGCTGACATATTGAGGTTTACAGCCTGACTCATAACTACTGTTGTTGGTGGTAGTATGGTGTGGAGTCAATTCCAACTCAGAGAGACCCTGTATAGGGTTTCCAAGGCTGTAAATCTTTATGGGAACACAAAGTGTCATCTTTCTCCTGTGAAACTGTTGGTAGTTTCCAACTGCTCACCTTGAAGTTAGCAACCTGACTCATAACCACTATACTACCAGAGCTCCTTGACTCATAACCACTATGCTAGAATAAATAAACGTGAATACTTATTTGCTAGTCGCAAAAACTTTATATTGCTAAGAAAAAAAGGCAAGTTTGGTGTGGCGCTTTAGGATAAGCACTGGACCTCAAGTTGGTTTCATCTACAAGTTCAGCAGTTCGAATTCACCAGCTACTCCTTGGAAACCCTATATGGGGTTGCTGTGAGTCAAAACTGACTTGAGGGCACTTAACAACAACAACAAAAGGAGATAGTGGTTTGTATTTACACAGGTGGCCGTTAGTCTCAGCAGCAGTCAGTATTTGTTCAGTGCTTAGATGAAATTAGCTTATTTTTACATTAAATGTTTTATTTTTGTTATCCCTATTTATATTGTTATAAAGAAATTAAATACAGCTGTTTAAAGTACTTTTAGAAATGTTTATGTTAGTTTAATTTTTCCTGGCCGTTCCTGGATAACAGTGATCTTCAATAACATTGACTTTACTATATGGGTTTATAAATTCATCTGTTTAAACAGTGCTATTCAAACATTTTAGTAGGGAAATCTTCAAACAATGATACGGGGTAAAGATTCCCTCTGGCAGATGTTAAAGTTAATGACTTGAGAGTGTTGTATAATATGGGAGCCACTAACCATGTATGTTGTAGTTCTGTCGCATCAGTTCTGACTCATAGCAACCTTATATGATTTTAGAGGAGTAGCTGATAAGTTTGAACCGCTGACATGGCGGTCCAATGCTTTATTCTGTAGCACCATGCCTGGACTCCTCTCACCACATATAGCTATTTAAATTTAATTAATTAGATTGAGTTAATTAAAATTTAGATTTTAAAATCAGTTGCTTAGTCACACTAGCCGCATTATAACTGCTTAGTAGCCACATATGATAAGTTTCTATTGTACAACACAGATAAGAACATTTCCATTATTGCATAAACTGGTACTTCAAAAATGCAAAATAGTTGTATTCCAATCTGCACATCACTTAACTATTCTAAGGCTTATTTTTTGTTTTGCAAAATGAGGTTTATATTAGTACCATAGGGTTGTTACATGTTTTTAATTAATTAGGATTTATAAGGTATGCAAAAGTAGTGTTTAGAACCTCCTATTATAAATGTTGTATTGTTGAAACTCCGATTGCACATCTTGAGCACTCAAGACTCAATATAAAAATCCATCAATTTATAATATATTAAATCTAATATTAGAATTTTATATTGGGCCTAGCATATATGGAGCAATTTATTAATTTTTAAAGCTTTGTTTTTCTCTAGCGAGTTGAAGAATTTCTCAGCAAAGACATCAGTTATCTTATTTCAAATAAAAAGGAAGCTAAATTTGCACAAACCTTGAATCGAATTTCTCCTGTACCAAGTCCAGAATCTGCATATACTGCAGAAACTACTTCACCTCATCCCAGCCATGATGGAAGCTCATTTAAAGCTCCAGACTCAGTAAGTATCTTAAATATGCCCTTAGATTCTCAAAAAGACTGTAATTTCAGGATCTCTTGATTTTCAACAATAGGCTGGCAGCAAATTTCAATTAGAGAATAATATCTATGTCATGTATGGTTATTTATTAATAAGGTTATCTCTTATAGAAAGGTAAATATTTCTTAGTATTTCATGAGATCAGTTGTCCAAACTCACCAGCTGCTCCTCAGAAATTCTACAGAGTTGCTATGAGTTAGAATCAGTTTTATTACACTAAACACCAGTCATATCCTCTGTGCACTTAGGGATGGATGTCTATTAAAAATTAACAGAAGGTCATTGTTAAAGAAGAAACAAACTTTTATTTCAGAGAAGGAGTGAGTAACTGTGGCCTATGGGCCAACTCTTCACATATCTTGTCAGTTGTAATATGGGGGCATATATGTAGCTGTGGTGTTGGAAGCTATGCCATTGATGTTTTAAATACCAGCAGGGTCATCCATGGTAGACAGGTTTCAGTAGCGCAACTCTTCACATATCTTGTCAGTTGTAATATGGGGGCATATATGTAGCTGTGGTGTTGGAAGCTATGCCATTGATGTTTTAAATACCAGCAGGGTCATTCATGGTAGACAGGTTTCAGTAGTGCTTTCAGACTAAGAGAAGAATAGAAAGAACTAGGTCTTCCACTTATGAGGGCTTGGAAGACACTCAATACAATTGTGGAAGAGCTGCCTCCTCAAAGTAAAGTCAACCTTAATGATGTGGATGGAGCAACACTTTCCAGACCTTTAGTGGGGCACAACTCAGAAAGAGAGAAAACAACTGCAAGCATCCATTAATAATCAGGTTATGGAAAAATATAAGAAATATGCATTTAGGAGGAAAGTTAGAAGTTGTCAAAAAGATTAATATTCTAAGCATTAACTGAAATGGAAAGTTACTATTTTGAATCAATCATATGATTTACTATACCAGGAATGACAAATTGAAGATGAATAAGATCATATTCATAATAAAGAATATTTCAAGATCTACCATGAACTATAATACTGTCTGCGATAGGAATCCTGGTGTGGTGCTGCGGGTTAATGCAAGGGCAGTTTGAACTGCAAGGTCAGCAGTTCAGAGCTCACCAGCTGCTCCTCAGAAACCCTACATAGGGTCACTATGAGTCTGAACTGACTCGAAGGCATTTAACAACAACAAAGATGGGATGACATATGCATACCTACAAGGAAACCCAATTAGTACAGTCATACACACCAACTACCAAAGGTAGCATGAAGAAATTAGAATTCTTTGTAGTGCTGTGGGTTAACGCACTGGACTGCAAAGTCAGTTTGACCTGTAAGGTTGGCAGTTCAAGCAATCCAACCACTCCTCGGAAAACCTATAAAGGGTCACTATGGGTTAGAACCAACTAGACAGCACTTAACAACAACAATTTCTTCAGCCTGAAATTGATCAAATGTAGAGTCAAGATGCATTAATAATTACCAATGATTGGAATGTGGAAGTTGGAAACCAAAAGGAAGGATCAGTAGTTGGGAAATATGGCCTTGGTGATAAAAATGACACGAGAGCACGGTCTATGAGAGCCAAAATATGACCAAGGACATATCCCACAAGAATGAAGAGATCATCTCAACAGATCAGATGCATTAGACACTAATGACCAAAGACCCAGAGAGAGTAGTTGTGGGATGGCATTAAGAAAATTAGATGTGAAAAAAGCAATGGTTAAATAGGAAAGAAAGAAAAGACCTAAGTGAATGTCTGAAGTGACTTTGAAAACTGCTCTTGAACATAGAATAGCTTAAGTGAATGGAAGAAATGAGATATTAAAAGAGCTGAACAGAAAAAAATTAAAGGACAACTCAACAAGACAAAGTTTATAATGAATGTATGAAGACGTGGAGTTAGAAAACCAAAAGGAAAGGACACGCTCAGTATTTCTGAATGTGAAAGAACTAAAGAAAAAATCCAAGCCTCAACTGCAACATAGAAGTCTACATAGAAAGTGGACTTCTTCTGTGTTGCAGTTGAGGCTTGAAGAAGTCTGAACTACTTCAGTAGTTCAAACCACCAGCTGCTCCTCAGAAAACATATACAGGGTCGCAATGAGTTGGAGTCCAATCGACGGCACTTAACAACAATATGTCTAAAATATTGAACACTACCCAGAGCATCAAAAGAAAATGAAAGGAATGCCCAGTCACTGTACCCAAAAGAATTAGTCAACATTCAACCACTGCAGGAAGTAGCATAATGATCAACACCCAATAGTATTAAAAGAAGTCCAAGCTGCACTGAAGGCACTAGCAAAAAAATAAGGTTTCAGCAGTTGATGGAATAGCAATTGAAATTTTTCACCAAACTGATGCATTTACTTGTCTATGCCAAGATATTTGGAAGAAAGATTAGAAGAGATCTATATTTGTGCCCATTTCAAAGAAAATCAATCCAGCAGAATGGTGAAATATCGTTAATATCACATGCAAGTAAAATTTTGCTGAAGATAATTCAGAAACCTGCAGCAACACATCAATAGGTAGCAGCCAGAAATCCAAGCTGGATTCAGAAGAAGACTTGAAACAAGTGATACCATTACTAACATCAGATGGATAATTATGCTCTTGAAGAACTTGTACATAGACTAATAAGCAGTCTTTCAAATGAAATAAAGGGATACGGCTTGATTTAAAATCAGGAAAAGTGTATGTCAGGTTGTATCTTTTCACCGACTTTAATCCATATACTGAACAAATAGTTTGAGAAAAACTAGACTATATGAAGAAGGGCATCAGGATTGGAGGAAGGTTCATTTGCAGCCTATAATATGCAAATGACACAACCTTGTTTATTGAAAGTGAATAGGAGGACTTGAAGCACTTGCTGTTGGAAGATCAAAGAAAACAGCCTTCAATATGGATTACAATTCAATATAAAAAAAACAAATGCTCACAATTGGGTCAGTAGTCAACATCATGATAACCAGTGAAAATATTGAAGTTGTCGAGGATTTCATTTTACTTGGATCTACAGTCAATTTTCATGAAAGCAGCCGTGAAGAAATGCAACGATTTCTTGCATTGGGCAAATTTGCTATACCGGATCTCGTTAAAGTGTTAAAAAGCAAAGTTGTCACTTTTAGGACTAAGGTATGCCTGACCCAGCCATGGTATTTTCATGCACCATATATGTATGTGAAAGCTGAATAAGGAAAACAGAAGAAGAATTGATGCATTTGAATTCTGGCAAAGAATATTGAAAATAACTTGGACTGCCCAAAGAACAAACAAATCTGTCTTGGAAGAGATGTATTCAGAATGCTGTTTAGAAATTAAGTTGACAAGAGTTCCTCTCATACACTTTGAACATGTTGTCAGGAGGGACCAGTTCCTAGAAAAGAACATCATGCTTGGTAACGTAGAAGGTCAGCAAAGACCTTCAATGAGATGGATTGACATAGTGACTGCAACAATGGGCTCAAACACAGTTTTGAGGATGACACAAAATTGAGCAGTGTACATGGGTTGCAATAAGTTGAAGGCAACTTGGTACCACCTGCAATCTAAGCATGGGTTTTACATTTTCAATTGGAAGGAAAAAAATGTTTCATGATGTGGAAGTTACATGGAATTAAAATGAATTGCCCATATGAGATCCAACTCATAGCGACTCTGTACAGGGTTTCCGAGGCTGTAAATCTTTACAGGAGCAGAACGCCTCATCTTTCTTCCACGGAACAGCTGGTAGTTTTGAACTGCTGACCTTGCGGTTCGCAGCCCAATTCGTAACCACTACACTACCAGATGGAACCATAGTCATGTCTATCATTTGCATATTATGTTTGGCTATTTCAAAGGTGGAATTGAATAGTTGCTGTAAAAGCCATATGGCCTACAAAGCCTGTAACATATACTACATGGCCCTTTATAGAAGGTGTTAATTACCCAACCTTTGTTTTAAAGTTAATGACAATACATCCCTCCCACTCGACTGCCAGTACATTGGAAGGTGCGTGCATGGCAAGATAAATTAATTCAGTTGGGTATGGGGAGGAAAGGAAATAAAGATGAAATGTTTATTTCCTTTTTAGATTGAAATGAAATTATTAAAGTATCATCTTCAACATAAATTAATTAGGGAAGCAAGGTAAACGAGAAGGGAACAGAAGAAATGACTTACATAAGTGAAACCATTCAAAAAAGACATATATATGCAAGGGAAGTCAGAAAGTCCACAGAAAAATGAAATTAAAAGATACAGGGATTTTCCATGAACCTTTTGTATAATCGTTAAGTGCCATCGACTCCATTCTGACACATAGCAACCCTGTGTAGAATTTCCGAGGCCTTTTTAAATCGTGGGAACAGAAGCCTCATCTTTCTCCTGTAGAGTAACTGGCGGTCTTGAACTGCGGGCCTTGTGGGTCACATTCCAGTGCTTATTGTATGGAACTGCCGTGCTCCCCTTTTCTATAATAGAAGGAGAAAAGGTAAAGAATGAACAGAGGCCAAGAGTGCATGGTATTTTTCATTGTTGATACCGTTTCAATTGCGTATCTAGTTTTTGGGGATTTTTAGTTATGGTGTGTGTGTGTATATACATACATAGCTAACTTTTATATACTGTTTTTATATGGTGTGTGTATATATAAATATATAGAGAGAGAGCGTAGTGGTTACGAATTGGGCTGCGAACCTTAAGGCCAGCAGTTTGAAACTACCAGCTGCTCCGTGGGAGAAAGATGAGACGTTCTGCTCCCGTAAAGATTTACAGCCTTGGAAACCCTCTACAGGGTCGCTATGGGTCAGAACCAACTCGACGGCACTTAACAACAACAACATATATACACACACACCCCATATAAAAACAGTATATGAAAGTTAGCTATTCATATTCTTAAACCTTCAAATTTGGTAGTAGACTAAATGTAAGCTGATTACATAAATACAAGGAGTTCTTCCTGACCTCTTCTGCTTCATCTGGTCTCCGCTATTCTCTTTTGATCAACTTTTCTGTCATTCTCTTCTGTTTTTAAGGGCTCATATGATTGCATTGGACCCACCTAGATAACCCAGGTAACCCAAGGAGCTCTGGTAGCATAGTGGTTATGAATCAGGCTGCCGACTTCAAAGCCAGCAGTTCGAAACTACCAGCTGTTCCGCGGGAGTAAGATGAGGCTTCTGCTCCCGTAAAGATTTACAGCCTCAGAAACCCTGTGGAGGATCATTATGAGTCGGAACCGACTCCACGGGACTTAACAACAACAGTACTTACCGACAACAACAACATAAATATAGGTACAAAATTCTAGTTGTTAAGTGCCATCAAGTCAATTCTAACCCATAGCCACCCTGTATAGGGTTTCCGAGGAGCAGCTGGTGAGCTTGAACCACTGACCTTGCAGTTCAAACAGCTTTACAGACTGGCGTATTAACCTACAGCGCCAAAATTCTAGTAGAGCCTTGCTATTTTATTTTTCACGTAGAATAGAATATACTATGAAATTGATTTCTTGGGGCTCATTCAGTTGCTCCAACAAAAAATGAGGAAACAAACTTTTTAATGTTATTTTACTAAATCACAGGGGTCTTGGTATGGCACTGTGGGTTAATGCACCAGACTGCAAAGCCATTTGAACTGCAAGATCGGCGGTTCAGGCTCACCAGCTGCTCCTCGGAAACCTTATACAGATTGCTATGGGTTGGAACCAACTCGACAGCACTTCACAACCACTAGTTAATAAAAACCTTAAATTAACTTTGTCTGTATACTGATTGTATTGATTGCCATTAAAGCTTGTCTAAGGAGCTCTGGTAGCATAGTGGTTACGAATCTGGCTGCAAACCTTAAGGTCAGCAGTTCAAAACTACAAGCCGCTCCTTAGGAGAAAGATGAGGCTTTCTGCTCCCGTAAAGATTTGATAGCCTCGGAAACCCTGTACAGGGTCGCTATGGGTCGGAACCAACTCGACGGTACTTAACAGATAAAATCTACTGATTTTTAGCTATTTTATCTTTTTAGCCTGTTCTTCAATGAAATACTATAAAAATACTTAACTTTGTTTTAATTTGGTTATTTGGTCTTTTTATAGGTGTGTTTAAGCAGAGGAAAATTGCTAGTTGAAAAAGCTATCAAAGATCATGTAAGTTGAAACTGAAAATTTTTCCACTGTGTATTCTGCAATTTAAAACTCAAATGGAAGTTGTTAGTATTCTTGATATTCCTTGTTTTTTTTTTACAGGCAAAGCCTAAACAGAGAAACAGCTCCATCTTGTGGCCTTTAAAAATATTGCTGGGGGTATCTTAAGCTATTTTTATATATTTTTAATTAAAATCCCTAAAACCTGTCCTATGATGTGCATTAAATGGCCAAGAACATTAGATATATTAAGGCAGGACTGATTTTACTATTGTCAGTGGTGTAATGAACATCAGTGTGCCAGATATCTACTTGTGTGTCCTGGCTCTTATTTTTTGTAGATATGTTGCTGGGTCATACAGTATTTCTAATTCCAACTTTCTGAGGAAGCGCCATACTGTTTTCCAATATGGTTGAACCAATTTACAGTCCCACCAACAGTGTAGGAGGGTGCCAGTCTTGCTATAGTAACTTTTATAGGGTTTGTTCTGAATAAAGCTTTTGACAGTAAGCATCAAATAACTGAATCTAAGTTTACCTTATTTCCTATAGTGATAGAAGTTATCAAACTTTTATTTTATTTTTTACAGGATTTTATTGCTTCAAATAGTGTATTATCAAATGCTTTAACATGGGGAGTAAAAATTCTTCATATTGATGGTAAGGATTTTGTAATTACTTTTAACAATATTTCTAATAAGTATCACCCATTTCTTTTCTTAGTCTCTCACCTTAGACAATGGGAATGTTGATAGCAAAGAATACCTGTAATGATAATTCTTTATTCTAGTGTGTTACAAACTATGAGTATAGCAGTGTTAGTAACTACCAAGTGTAAAACATCTAACCTTAAAATGTCCTTTTTTTTAATAAAGATATTAGATGTTACATTGAACAAAAGAAAAAAGAATTATATTTATTCAAGAAGTCAAGCACTTCCATGAGAGATGTGGTATGTCTTTCCTTCACTTTTCAACCAATTTTTTAAAATGTCTCAAATAGTTGTAAGGCTGTTTAGTTTTATTTAAAGTAAGTAAAACATTCATTTTAAAATGTATTGTGAAAGCCTTTGAATATGTATATTGTAAATCCCATAGCAATCACTAAACAAAACAAATCAACCAACCAAACCAAAAACAGATATAAGCAAAGAACCAGTAGATAAACCTTGAAAAATAATCCAAAAGAAAGCAGGAAAAGGGAGGGTCGAGAAATAAAACACAGTGGATCATCTGAAATTTAATAGTAAATTGGTAGTTCTAAGTCCAATAATATCACTAGCTCCATTAAGAATGCATCAATTAAACATGCTAATGAAAGACAAATTACCATTCAAATATTGTTTACAAGAACCCATTTTAATATAAAGACTAAATACACTAAAGTTGTTACTAAGTGCTGTCAAGTTGGTTCCAACTCATAAGGACCTTGTATATGGTTTCTGAGGAGCAGCTGGTGGGTTTGAACTGCCAACCTTGTGATTCTCAATCCAGTGCTGATCCTACAGGGCAACACCAGGAGTTGGATTTAAAAAATACACTGTACCAACACTAATCACAGAAAGCTGGAATGGCTATATTATCACAGTGTATTTTAGAAGAAGGAATATTACCAGGGACTTTACACAATAAAAATCAGTTTATCAAGAAGATATATGGTTGTTCTTGTTAAGTGCCACTGAGTCGATTCCGACGGGAGCAGAAAGCCTCATCTTTCTCTTGCAGAGTGACTGTGGGGCTCAGACCACTAACCTTGTAATGGTTCAAAATCCAACTCTTATCCTCTAGAGCCACCATACTCCCTAAGAAGATACAAGAATACTAAATATTACTGGAGCCTTGGTGTAGCTTTACACGATCAGCACTGAAGTGCTAACCACAAGGTTGTAACACCCACCAAACTTCTCCTTGGAAACCCTATGCAGGGTAACTAAGAACTGTTATAATGGCACTTGACAACAACAATAAAATGTGTGCTTCATCTAATAGCAAACTTCAAAGCATATGAATCAAAAACTGATATATAACTGAAAGGGAAATAAATTCATAAATATGTATAATTGTTGTTGTTGTTAAGTGCCATCGAGTCGATTCTGATTCATAGCGACCCTGTATTTGGTTTCCAAGGAGCAGCTGGTGAGCTTGAACCGCCGACCTTGCAGTTCATGCTGACTTTGCAGCCCAGTGCATTAGCCCAATGTGCCATACCAGGACTCTTCTTATTGTAAGGTGCCACTGAATCAATTCTAATCCTTAATGACCTCTGGTGGGTTTTAACCACCAACCTTGCAAACAGCAGTCCAGTGCTTATTCTGTAGCAAATAGGATGAGTGAAAAATTTATCTGCACTCTGGTTACATTAAAATGTCTGTACACATTCACGGCTTCTGACAACATTGAGCGTCCATGTGACAGTGGATTTGTGGCACATCATTTGCAAATCAGCCATGACTCTGCCTATGAATTAATGCATGACAGACTTAGGTTTTGAAAAGTTTTGTGCAAGATGAGTACCAAAACAACTCACTGAAGAGCATAAACAAGCATTTGGACATCTGCAAACAAAATTTGGACCAATGGTCAAAGGAAGGTAAAGGTTCTTTAAAAAAATCATTACTGGTGATGAAACATGGCTTCATCTTTGAAAGCTTGAAAGCAAACGGCAAAGTATGGAATGGAAACATCCTCTATTGCCAAATGAGAAAAAGTTTAAAGGTCAATCATCATCTGGAAAATTGATGCTTACAGTTTTCTGGAGTTCTTAAAGGGCCAGTATTGGAACACTGTCAGGAAAAAGGTTCAACAGTCAGAAGTGCTCGTTACAGTGAAATGTGCTATTCACTGAAGAACTGAAGCCTAAACTTGGGATTAAATGCAGAGGGCTGCTATATAAGGTGTTGTGACCTTACATGACAGTGCATGTTCACACATCTCTGTCCAGACTGTTGACATGCTGCAAAAAACTTAGTTCTGAGGTGTTACATCATTTTCCTTATAGTCCTGATGGTGCTCCATCGGAGTTTGACTTGTTTGCTCTCCTGAAAACTGCCCTTCGAGGATGAAGACTCACCTCTGATGAAGTGAAGACAGCAGTGCATTTGTGGCTTGTAGCTCAGTTTAAACTATTTTTCAATAAGGGAATACAAAACTTGTTGACGGACAACATGTTTTGAAAAGCAAGGAAATTATGCTGAAAAATGATGTATATGTCTTTTCTAAAAGTTGATTAAATTTTACAACCAGAGTACAGATAATTTTTGACTCATCCTTTTTTCTATAAAACATAAATAACTTCTTATATGCTGTTTTCCCTACATTAATTGTTTTTGTCTTGAGGATATTGACATTGCCATTGGTTTTAGATTTCATCTTTTCAAACCCTGTATTTTCACTATTTTTTTTTTTTTTTTTTACTTTTAAAGGGGAAAAGAGTTTGTCCTCAGAAAACAAGAAGTAAGTATTGTGAAATTCTTACACTTAATTGATTTGGTTTGGAAATAGGACAAATCCTGTAAGTCTCATTAAAAATCATGTTAAGAAGCCTTGTAATGATTTATTAGGAAGTTTATAACTTAATTCAGAACATGGACGACTCTTATAGCAGTCAGGTGTCGCTTGTAGTCTCCTTTTTGAATAAAAAAGTCATTGAAATACTAAGAAAAGTCAATGATCAAAATGCAGGTGTAAAAGCATTTTTTAGTTAGTATATAATGGTATAAATGTTTTATTACATTAAAATCAAGTTTTAGCATTGATTCTAAATTTTACTATAATTGTAAAGTGATGAGCATATGGATGCTTTTAGATATTTATAGCAATCAGTATGTAAAATGTACATCTTCTATTGGTATCAAAGTTACGGGTGCTGTTAATACTAATGTGCTTTGTTATTAATATTTATAATTGGAAGGAATGTTAAATTTCATTTGAAGACTAATAATGAGAAAAGTGGAGTTTATTTTTTTCTGTTTTAAGTTAATAAATCTTCCTGCATTTTGTGAGGATCTATTCAGTTTAAGCATCTCAAAATATAAACTGTATACTGTACTGGAAACAGATGAAATTAGAAAACACTTCCCCTGAAGTCTAATGGATACTTAGTTTTTTCTTGACTAGAGCATTTGTAAAAGAAAAATAAATACTTACATGTGTTGTTTCATGTTTTTTAAAGCAGGTAGACTAAAAAAGCCTTTTGTAAAGGTGGAAGATATGTGTCAGTAAGTACTAAGTTTCGTTTGTATGACTTTAAGTGTTAGAAGGAAAGCCTACTAATATCTATTGGTTATTTCAGATTCCAGATAAATGATATGATTCTAAATGTTGTTGTTGTTAAGTGCCATCGAGTCGGTTACGACCCATAGCGACCCTGTAACAGGGTTTCCGAGGGTGTAAATCTTTACGGGAGTAGAAAGCCTTATCTTTCTCCCGCGGAGCGGCTGGTAGTTTCGAACCGCTGACCTTAATGATTCTAAATAGTCTGGCTAAAACTTCTTTCCTTTCATGATAGAGAATCTCATCTATTTGTCCTTTTTTTCTTTTTCTTTTTTAGACTTTATAAGCCATTTTATCTTCAGTTGACCAACATGCCTTTTATAAATTATTCTATCCAGAAGCCCTGCAGTCCTTTTGATGTGGATAAGTCATGTAGCACCCAAAAGCAAACTCAAATTAAACTAAGGTTTGTCTGAATTTTTACTTTTAGAAGGAATATTATTCAGAATATCATCTCAAGTAATATTTTTTAATTTTTTATTTACTAATATAAATCTCTAATCAAATTACTATAGATTTATCAGTTTGACAAAATATTTTTTTGTGTGAATAGTTAATTCTTTACCATATATTTCTGTTACCAGAATCCAAACAGATGGTGATAAATATGATGGAACCCCAATTCAGCTCCGTTTGAAAGAGAAGAAAAAAAAAGGATATTGTGAATGTTGCTTGCAGAAATATGAAGATCTTGAAACTGTAAATGTCATTTTATTTTTAGGGAATTAATGTTTCTAAAACTGCATTTGTTGTTGAATGCCGTCAAGTCAATTCTGACTCATAGAGACCCTGTATAGGGTTTCCAGGGAGCAGCTGGTGAGCTTGAACCACTTAGTTTCAGCTTATTCATTTGACTGTAGTTTGCAATTTGATAATTAAAAGTAGTTTTTAGTTGTCTTTGAAGAAATAGTTTTAAGAACCCTACTGTTAGTTTTATTTGTGCAGTGCTGTTCATGCAGAAACTGCCTGTCTGAACAGCAGTTCACAAATGAAACTAATCCCCTGCAATCGTGAAGATTACTTTCAATGATGTGGGATAGACAGGTAACTTGTTAGGCTGTTCGTTGTTAGGTGCCGTTAAGTTGGTTCCAACTCATAGTGACCTTATGCACAACAGAAAAAAACACTGCCTGGTCCTTCTGTAATCTCACAATAGTTGCTATGCTTGAGTCCATTGTTTCTGCCACTGTACCAATCCATTTCTTTGGGGGTCTTGCTTTTTTTTCACTGACCTTCCACTTTACTGAGTATGATATCCTTCTCCAGGGACTGGTCCATCCAGATAATGTGTCCAAAGTATGAGAGGCAAACTTTCTCTGCCTTGACTTCTAAGGAGCATTCTGGCTATATTTTTAATATTCTCCAACACCGTAACTCAAATGCTTCAGTTCTTCTATGATCTTCCATATTCACTGTTCAACTTCCACATGCTTATGAAGCTATTGAAAATACCATGGTTAGGGTCAGGCGCACCTTAGTTCTCAAACTGACATGTTTGCACTTGAACACTTTAAAGAAGTTTTGTGCTGCAGGTTTTCCTAATGCAATACATTTTTCAATTTCTTGACTCCTGCTTCCATGAGTCTTGATAATTGGTCTGAGCAAAATGAGATCTTGGACAACTTCAATATTTTTGCCATTTATCTTGATGTTATTTATTGGTCCAGTGGTAAGGATTTTTGTTTGCTTTACATGGAAGTGCAACCCATACTGAAGGCTGTGATCTGATCTTCAGGAGTATTTTAAGTCCTCTTCACTTTCAGCAAGCAAGCAATCTTGTATCATCTGCATATCACAGGTTGTTAATGGGTCTTGCTCCAATCCTGTTGCCACATTTTTCTTCATATAACCCAGCTTCTCGGATTATTTGCTCAGTATACAGATTGAATAAGTATAGTGAAAGAATATAACCCTAGCGCACACCTTTCCTGATTTTAAACCATTTATGCCCCTTTGATCTGTTCCAACAACTGCCACTTGGTCTGTGTACAGCTTCCTCATGAGCACAATTAAGTGATCCGGAATCCTCATTCTCTACAGTGTTGTCCATAGCTTGCCATGATCCACACAGTTGAAAGTCTTTGCATAGTCAACAATGCACAGGTAAACATCTTTCTGGTTTTCTCTGTTTTCAGCCAAGATCCCTCTTGTCCGTAATGATGACCCTTGTTCCATGTCCCTGTCTGAATCAAGCCTGAACCTATGGCAGTTTCCTGTCGTATACTACTGCTGCCATTTTCCAGTTGTCTTTAGCAAAATTTTACTTGCATGGGGTGTTAAAGTAGTATTATCCAATATTTCCACATTCCATTGTGTCACCTCTCTTTGAAATGAGGACAAATATGGATCTCTCTGAATCAGTTGGCCATGTAACTGTGTTCCGAATTTTTTGACATAGATGAGTGACTGCAGTGCTGCCTCAGTTTGTTGGAAGGTTTAATTTGTACTCTATCAATTCCCAAAGCTGTTTGCCAATTCCTTCAGTGCACCTTCAGTATCATTGGCTCTTGATCATATCATTGGCTACCTCTTGAAAAGGTTGAACATCAACCATTTCATCGACAGTGACTGTGCATTCCTTCCATCTTTGATGCTTTCTGGTCACTGAATATTTTGCTCATCAAATCTTTTCTTCAGTTCTTTCAGCGTGAGAAATGTTGAGCATGTTCTTCCCTTTTGGTTTTTTAACTCCAGGTCTTTTCACATTTTGTTATAATTAATATTTGACTTTGTCTGTTCAAGCTGGCCTTTGAAATTTTCAGTTCAGTTCTTTTACCTCTTCCTTCCATTTTCTTTAGCATTTCTACACTGGAGAACAAGTTTCAGGGTCTTTTCTGACATCCATTTTGGTCTCTTCCTTATTATCTTCTTTTTTTTTTTAAATGCTTTATTATGAACTATGCAATAGTTTATATTGGAGAACGTTAGCTTTACATTCATCCTATCGTATATCGTTTCAGTGCCATGGTTACAATCACCTCGATGCATCATCAGCCAACCAAAGAATATTCCCTGTAAGCCTGCCCCCTGGTCGTCAGCACACAGCCCCTCTCTCTCTCTGGGTCCAGAGTCCCCAGCCACTCCATCTCTCCACATCATCGTCTCTGCCTCCACCTATTATGTCATTGTTTCTTGGGTAGGGTCCCGCATTCTGTTTTTCTCCCTTGATGGTCCCAGGGCCCTCCGCTCCTGGACTGCAGTCAACCACTCCCCTCCTTTTGCTACAAAATGTACACCTTTACATTTCCAACCGTCACAGACTGTTCCGATAGCATTTATTCACTATTGTGCCACATGAGTGCCATCCCCATATCCTTTCATCAGCCCCTCCCAGACAGATTGGACACCACTCAGTGGAGAGTCCACCCTTAATCGTGCCCCCTGGGTCTAGGCTCCCTCTTGAAAGCTTGTAAGCCAGTTACTTCTTCCCTTTGTAGCCCCCACCCCCTATTTTGGGTAGCCAATGTCCAAGTTGCCCGTCTGCCGGGGACCAGCCTTAAAAAATTATTAGGAGGCTCTTGAAGGAGGATGTGGAGTCAGCGGAATGAATTACACAGAGTCAATGGGTCATTTTGAGTCTCAGGCAGATGATGGTAATGATGACTCTCTCTTTACTTAAAAATTGTTGCTTCTTATATCCCATTTAGAATATACTATGATCTCACAATAGTCACGTACAAGCAGTTACAAATCAGTCAAATATTATATTCTTACAGCAAAGGTACAAGAGGAACACAAGGTCATCAAACATTCCTGCGTCTCTACACTCCCTAGCCACTCAGATAACATCTGTCCTCTGTAAGCGACTCTGTTTCTCTCGAATCCTCCTTAAAATATCTAGTTTGGCCTTGATTTGTTTTTCTCTAATCCTCTTTAAATGTCAGGTTAATTTTAAACAAAGTTCTACATCTTAATTTCTAACTTTACCAACATCTATTATTTTCTATAGATTCATTAATTACAACTTACAATCAAAAACATAATTTTTACTATAACTGGTCATACATCTAATTGATTTAACAACAAAAACAAGAACATAAAAGTACCCTAAAGTTTCATAGTTAAGAACAAAGCAGTAATTCTCTTATACTAACAATTTCTCCGAACCTCTAATCAAAATTTTACTTCTGTTCTTAAGCTCTCACTGCCCTTGACTGTTTTCTAAGCTGCTTTCTAAAGGCCTTAATGTCCTTGACTAAAACCACATGGAATGTTTCTTACAATTTTAAGCTTGAATTGCTAAAACTTTAGCTAGCGTGGTTATCTCTAATGTTAAAACTTATTGTTAATGTAAAAACAATTTTTATAATTACATAAGGTTGAATATGGTATGAAAGTTGATGTTAATATGAAAGGCAACTATTATAACGTGAGGTTTGTTTAAAATGCTAATGATTATGCAAGATTTTCTAAAACTTCTTATAAGGAAATCAGAAACTATTTTTCCAAGAAAAAGCTAGAAACCACGGGGCTCCTGCATGAAATACCCCTTTGTGGCTTTGCCAACCAAGGGGACATTCATTGTCGCTTTGCTAAACAATGAACTTTTCATGCATAAGGCTTCTCGCTGTTACTTCCCTTGGCAGGATGGCATCCACCACCCATCCCTGTTTACCCTGTGTATCGAGGGGGTGGGAATGATCCTCGCTGTAAAGATTTATTCACTCTTTTGAGGTACTGCATCCATAGTTGTAGGTCAAGTTCATCAAATTGTATCAGATTACTTTTGTTTTTCCTCTTTTCTTCTTCTAGTTGAGTTCTGATCATTCAGCCATTGAGGCCAGGTCAAGTGGGTATTATCTGCAAGTGTGGGTGTTCTTGTGCATATGCCCTTTCTTATCAGCTGGACACTTCACTCTCTATTCTAGTCCTGTGTGGCTGTGTCACTGACTTGGGGCCCATGAGCCCCAGGTCTTGCCACACTGCTGGCCAACCAGGTCTTCACCTGGGTTCATAGGAGTCTGTTGAATGTGGTAGGGCTTAGCTTGCAGCTTCATTGCTGTTTTCCCCACTTCCCCTTACCGGTGAACAACGTGGTCACCAGTCAGAGCGCATGTCTGCTCACGTATTCCCATTGAGTGTTAGTCTTGGAAGGGTTTTGCCCTGAGGTGGGCCGACCACTTGTCTTGGTATCTCCTGGGCGAGCAACTTGCTTTTTCTTGTCCTTATTGTCTTCTTAGTGACTTTTTGCTTTCTTCATATATTATGTTCTCTGTGTAATCCCATAACTCTTGGTCTTCAGTCACTGATGTTTAATTGATTAAATCTTACAGACTACAGGATAAAACCAAAAAGTATACATGGAAAAACAGAATTATAAGGCAAAGGAATTTTTCCATGTATGTCTTGATTCCTCCTCATATATTGTCGTTGAATGCTGTCTAGTCGATTCCGACCCATAGAGACCCTGTATAGGTTTCCTAAGGAGCAGCTGGTGAATTTGAACTGCCGACCTTGCAGTTCAAATGGCTTTGCAGTAGGGCGCAATAACCCACAGCATTAAATAAATAACAAACCAGGAATAGCAATGTTGCTATTTGTTTTAATTAGATAAATACCAGTCTGATAAGGTAACATTGGAATTGAACACCTGAAAGAAGTGAGATAGCAAGGTATACTGTTCCAACCAGAGGGAATAGCAAGTGCAAACATCTTGTTCAAGTAATCGATGGGCTCAGAAATCAGATGATGGAGTCCTGAACTAAGTGTGATGATAGGAATGATGAGATAAGGAATTTGCCAATGAAAGGGATATGTGAAAAGACAGAGGTAATAGTCAAGAATATCGAATATCAGCCTGAGCAGCTTTGCCCATTATTAATTGTTGTTGTAAAGTGCCGTTGAGACGGTTCCGACCCATAGCGACCCTGTATAGGGTTTCTGAGGAGCAGCTGGTGAGCTTGAACTGCTGACCTTGCAGTTCAAATGGCTTTGCAGTCTGGCACATTAACCCACAGCGCCACACCAGGACTCCAAATACTAATTAGAGAAGAACAATTGAAGAAGGTGGAGATGATGTGTTAGAAGAAAAACTATACAGTAGTTGAAAGAATATAACAAAGTTTTGAAGGTGAGAATTTAACAGTTTGTAAGCTGATTAAAGGAGCTTCTGGTAGTGCAGTGGTTGTGAGTTAGGCTGCTAATCTCATGGTCAACAGTTCTAAACTACCAGCTGTTCCGTGGGAGAAAGATGAGGCTTTCTACTCCCGTAAAGATTTACAACCTTGGAAACCTTATGCAGGGTCACTATGAGTTGGAACCAACTCAGTAGCACTTAACAACAAGCTGATTAAAAGAGCAAGATTTAGCTGCCTGGGTTTGAATCTCAGCTGCCTATATTTGTGACCTTGGATGATGCTTTGCTGTCCAAGTGGTGGTGATGGTCTTGTGCCGTTAGTCAGGTCTGACTCATAGTGATCCACCCTATATAGGATTTGTGACACTAAATCTGCACAGGAGCAAAAAGCCTCATCTTTCTCCTGTGGTATGGCAGGTAATTTCAAACTGCTAACTGGAGGTTAGCAGCCCGACTCGTAACCACTATACTAACAGAACTCCTCACTAAATGTTAGCTGCTGTTATTATGTGAATTATTACTATTTAAAAATAGTGGAGAGGTTTTTGCATTTTGTTTGGTTTGGATAGACGACGGTGGGATGGCTAAAGAGATGGAATAATTCTTTAAAATTCCTGATTCATAAACTCTATTCAGACTTTAAATGATTGCTTTATAACACAAGATATTAGTGTGTTGTGTATTTTTTTTGTGTCGTCTTAATATTGTTAGTGGTTAAAATTGAAAACCTTGGCCATTAATTGCCATATAAAGGAAAAATAGTAAACCTAGACAAGTGGGATTGATCGCTATTTGTTTATTTATTTTTGCATATATATTCACTAAGAGTAAATAACTTTTGTTTATTGTGTCTTGCATTTTCTAATTACTTGGTTCTATGAGCTCTGGTAGTGTAGTGGTTACGAATCAAGCTGCCAACTTCAAGGTCAGCAGTTCAAAACTACCAGTTGTTCCACGGGAGAAAGATGAGACTTTCTTCTCCTGTAAAGATTTACATCCTCGGAAACCCTGTGCAGGGCCACTATGGGTCGGAACCGACTCCACAGTATTTACCAACATAATCTAGGCATTTCTTTAAGAAAAATTTGAACACCAGAAGTAACAACAGTACAGATGCATCTTATGGTCTGATAGAGAAAAGAAATTATTAAGTAAGTAATACTGAGTCGGTTCTGACTAATAGGGACCCTGGACCCTTTTTAGGGTTTCCAAGGAGCAGCTGGTGAGTTTGAACTACCAAATTTAAACAGTTAGTGGTTCAGGACTGACCCTACAGTGCCACAACAAAACTCTAGAGCAAAGAGATAACCAACATTTATTTGCAACTGTGATGAATGTTGTTAAGTGTGTTCTGACTCATAGTGACCCTGTATAGGGTTTCTGAGCAGTGGCTGGTGAGCTTGCACTGCCGACTTCGCAGTCCAGCTCATTAACCCATAGTGCCACACCAGGACTCCATGATGAGTGTTAGGAAAGTGGAAATACAAGGTACAATGATAATAATGATTCTCAAACTAAAATTAGCTTTATAGAAAGCCCATAAATGTCAAAGTGCCATTTAATTCATTATCTATTGGGTGAATAAGAGTCAGAAGATAGTTTCAATATCGTTTTCATTTGTATAGCAGTACAAGGAATATATAATGATATATGTTCAATTATTTTGAAAGTAAGATTATATGTATTCTATATTGTTGTAAGTGCTTTTTTGTTACCATTGAAGAATTTAATTTTTGTGGATATACAATTTAACCATTAAAACTTAGAATGTTAGGAGGGAAAAGCCCCTGGGGAAGAAAGACATCATGCTTGCAAAAGTGGAGGGTCAGCTCAAAAGAGGAAAACTCCACTTGAGATGGATTGACACCCTGGCAGTAACAATTGGCTCAAGCATAATTACAATTGGGAGGATGGCACAGAAAAAGGCAGCATTTTGTTCTGTTGTGTGTGCATAGGATTGGTATGAGTCAGAGCTGACTTGATGATACCTAATTACAACAACATGAGGTTTTCCATGGTTGGTCATCTTGATAATGTTTTTCAGTGCTATCAAGTCAATTCCAACCCATAGCAGCCCTGTATAGGATTTCCAAGGAGTGGCTGGTAAACTTGAACCCCCATCCTTGCCATTCAAGCTGACTTTGCAGTCCAGTGCATTATTAGCCCACAGCACCACACCAAGACTGCCATCTTGATATGTGTTTAGATATAATTCCCCATGGAGCAAAAAGACAAATGATAGGCGCACTAGCTTGGAGATACCTGTTTTATGTGACTTTTATCTCAGCAAATTGAACTTTTCTTGTTTATCACGCCTAAGATTAAAAATAACTTCTGTTATAAACACTAGTTTGTTGAGATTGTTTATTTGTTCATTCTTAAATTTGTTCTTCAATTATGAATTTTTTGTTTGTGTATCTCCCAGCATTCAGCATTCAATGTGATTCATTTGCTTGTTAATCTGCTTCCTAGATTCCTGTATATTTTGGATTCTTGTATATTAAATGATAATATTTCACTCATTGGATATAGGCTCTATAGGATAGGTGTTGGACTGTTAATCACAAGGTCGTAGTTCAAACCCACCAATAGCGCCTTGGAAACCTACGTTAGGATTGCTCAGTTGAAGCTTATGCAATTGTACTTAACAATAGCAATAACTTAGTGATAATTGTGTAAGGATAAAATATTAGAAAACGCTTTCAAGAGATCCTAAGCGCACATTAAGTGCTAGATGTTACTGCAATTTTCTTCTATCATCTCATTTTCTGATAAAACTCATTTCTACTATAACCATAAATTAGTTAGTATTTTGACTTTCCTCACTAAAAATGGAAGGCTATGATACCAAAAGAGTTGTTGGTGGTTTCTCAGAATTGGATTGTTTTCATTTCCTAGCATCCTTTTAAGTCAAGTCATTGGGAACCTAATTTTAGGGATATGAAATTGTTGTTAGGAAACCTGTACAAAAAGGCTTATTTGTTGTTTTTTAAAATATACTTAATGTTTTTATATTTTAGCATCTTCTATGTGAACAACACAGAAATTTTGCACAGAGCACCCAGTATCAAGTTGTTGATGAAATCGTATCTAAGTTAGTTTTTGACTTTATGGAGTATGAAAGGGACACACCTAAAAAGAAAAGGTAATCTAGCAATACAGATGTATAGAATGACCATATTGTTAATCTACTTTATATGTATTATTAGGATGTAAACATGCTTATAAACTAATTATTTTCACTAATTATACCTTCTTAAACTCTGTTTTCCAGTAAAACTTCCAAAAATACTTGTAGGATTTTTATATATGACTAGGTTGTATTTGCCTCTACAATAACTGCACACTGACAAAAATGATACTGGTTTTGTTCCCATTAATCTACAATGAGAGAAATGCTTTCATATGGATATATCCTAGAGTTGGTGATAATGTTAATGTTTGTAATCTTAAGGCATAAAAATGACTAGAAAATGTGATACCAAGATACATCTTCAGGAAAATAACTAGAAAGCAATTTGGTGAGATCATGACTGATTTAATAAAATGGCATTTGGAGAATTGACATATTGCCAACTATATAAACTAGGGGCACTGTGGGATGACGCACTGGAACACAAGGTTGATTTGAACCACATGGTCAGCAGTTCAGACTCACCAGCTGCTCCATGTAAACCCTATACAGGGTTGCTATGAGTTGTAACTGACTGGATAGCACTTAACAACAACATAAAAAATACTAATTCCCTGGATTCAGCCTACAGCAAAGTTATAAACTATTATTTATATTCATAAACTACATCTTCCTTAATCACTTATTTTAATTATCCTTAATTTATTATCCGCACCTTCATTGGCAAGTCACCTAGACTTCTCTGGACTTAAAAAGACAGAGCAGTGTTGGATTAACGTTTTCACATTCCTTTCCTCCTCCATTTGTTCAAAAGGAATCATAAGTTGAAAGTATAAACAAATATAAAAGGAACATTCTGACTGAAGGGGTAGAGTTCTATATTTCTTAATGTTATGTGTGACATGTACAATATATAATTGGTGAGCTGTTATTTCTTCCTATTCTAAGATTCTCTAATGTAAATTACCATCCCAAGAAAATCAAGGTGTTTCAGGAAGAAAAAGTTTCAGGTTAAGTATGTGTATGAAAATTAAGTATTACTAATTTTTCATCTTTAGAAGTATAACTGTGAGAGAAAGATGAGACTGCCTACTCCTGTAAAGATTAACAGTTAGAGAACCCTGTCTTATAGGGTTTAAGTCAGAGTCACTTCAGTGGCCTTGGGTAGCAGTGGTAGGACTAGTAGAAGTATAGTTACTTACTTTGTTTCCAGCTTACTTTGATAATTAACATCTTTTACTTAATATAAACAAAAAATATATTTATGCCTTTACTTTCCAGGAAAATACTCATTGTCTACATTGCTGTGTAAACTGAGACAAGCATTAGTGTAAATCACAGAAATTATTAAATATTTTAAGATATAAAAACAAAATCACTTATTACTAATCACTTTAGTATCATCGTTCTGTGATTTAACGGGAGCTTCAAAAAAATTGTAGGAACATGGAATTACTTTTGTAATGTTTTGTAATATGTTTGTGGAATAGCATAAAAGATAATTTTACTAATATTTTTTTCTTTTTTCTCACCTCTGAAGAAAAAAATACAGTATTGGATCCATTTCTCCTCTTATTACAAATGTCCTCACGAAGAATGAGCCAAAAGAAAATCTAGAATTGCCACATATCCCTCAGGCAGAGTTCAGGAAAAATAATACACAGACGATCGAGCAGAATTCTCTGTATGAAGAAACGCAGGAACCTGAACAAGGGCTTGTATTTATTACAGAACCTATCACCTATTTTTCAAGTGAACAAAGAGAACTTGATGAGAAAGATACTAGTAAATGTTCCATATTAAATGCAGCTGAAAATCACATGAAACTGAATTTTTCACAGCTTCCTTCACATAAAAATAAAGAGGAATGTATTCTTGATGTTTCGGAACATAAATTAATTATAAGTGAAAGTAACATGGAAGAACTAAAAAAGGTGAAGAATCCCTGTCCATGTATACTACAGATATCTAAACAAGTTTCCAATTTCAGTAAGGATAATAGTACATCTCAACTAAAACAAAAGTCCAGTACTGCCCATTTTTCATCAAAAGATTTGAAGGACAGGGACTTTAGTTCAATATTTGGTCATGATTCTGATCTGATAGCAACAAAGAGTTCACAAGAGCACCTAACAATTCAAGCAAAGACTCTGTCCTGTAGCCCTCCAAAGGAATCCAATGAATGCAGCTTCAAGAATATGGATAGATTACCTTCTAGTAAAATCCACCGGAAAGTGAAATTATTACTAGGAAGAAATAAAAAAGAAAATCTGGAACCAAATGTGGAATTAGATAAGAAAAGAACTGAATTTCTTATCACACAAGAAGAAAACACAATTTGTAGTTCACCAGTGCAATCTCTACTGGACTTATTTCAGACTAGTGAAGAGAAATCAGAATTCTTGGGTTTCACAAGCTACCCTGAAAACAGTAGTGCATGTGATGCGTTAAATATTTGGGAAGAAGAAAATTCAGATAATCTGCTGTCAGTGTTTTTTTCTTCCCCTTCAAATTCTACATTTACTGGCTTTTAGTTACATTTTACTTGAAATTTTTATAAATATGTATAAAAATTACTAAGATGTTTTCGCCAACTTTGTTTACAGAACCACATGTAAATAATAATAAAGGTAATAATATTTGCATTTTTCTATAGAATAGCTATTACAGAAATTTGTAGAATTAACTTCTGACATTCTATATGCTGTTGTTAGGTGCCGTCGAGTCGGTACTGACTCATAGTGACCTTATGCACAGCAGAATGAAACATTGACCAGTCCTGGGCCAGCCTCACTGTTGTTGCCACACTTGAGCCCATTGATACTACCACTTTGCCTGTCCATCTTGGTGGGGGGGGGGGGTCTTCCTCGTTTTCTCTGACCTTCCACCTTATGAAATATGATACCCTTCTCCAGCTTGAGTTTGTTGATGCTGCCACTTTGCCGATCCATCTCGCTGGGGGTCTTCCTCTTTTTCTCTGACCCTCCACCTTATGAAATATGATACCCTTCTCCAGCTTGAGTCTGTTGATGCTGCCACTTTGCCGATCCATCTCGCTGGGGGTCTTCCTCTTTTTCTCTGACCCTCCACCTTACCAAACTTGATATTCTTCTCCAGAAACTGGTCTCTCCTGACAATGTCAGAAGTATGAGAGATGAAGTTTGGCCATCTTGGCCTCCAAGGAGCACTCTGGCTGCACTTCTTCCAACAGATCTGTTGGTTCTTTTTGCAACCCATTGCGCTTTCAGTATCCTCCAACACCATAACTCAAAAGCATCAATTTGTTTCTGGTCTTCCTTATTCACTGTCCAGCTTTCACATGCATTTGAGGCTATTGAAAATACCATGGCTAGGGTCAGGCACACCTTAATCCTCAAGCTGACATCTTTGCTCTTCAACACTTTAAAAAGGTCTTGTGCAGCAGATTTGCCTAATGCAATACATCATTTGATTTCTTGACTGCTGCTTCCATGAGTGTTCTTGATTGATCCAAGAAGAATGAAGTACTTGACAACTTCAGTCTTTTCTCTATTGATAAAGAATGTTTATTGGTCCAGTGGTGAGAATTTCTGTTTTCTTTACATTGAGATACTATCCATACTAAAGGCTATGTTCTTTGATCTTCATCAGTAAATATTTTAAGCCTTTTTTTGTCTTTCAGCAAGCAACGTTGTATCTGCATATCACTCTTCCTAGTCTGTCTTCATCTGGAAGCTCATCTGAAACCTGTCCACCATGGGTGACCCTGCTGGTATTTAAAATACTGGTGGCATAGCTTCCAGAATCTCAGCAACTCACAAACCACCACAGTACGCCAAACTGATGAGTGGTGGACATTTTATATACTATGTTCATAATTATTTCCTAAGAATTATGAATAATAATGTTCACTTTATGTCAATGAAAACTATTTCAAATAAAAATGTAAGAATTTCAAAGCTTAGCATTATAAATTCACATAGTTAAATTTGTTGTCTTAAATAGATTCCTATTTGGCAATATTGCCTATAAAAACATTTTATATGCAAGGGAACAGATTTTTCTATATTTGGATTCTGGATATTGTTTTCAGTAACATGGACACATTTAAATTTGTAGTTTTTGGGCAAACTAGATAGTTTTTATTGTTTTAAGTGCCTTCAAGTAAGTTCCATCCCATAGCGACCCTGTATAGGGTTTCCAAGGAGTGGCTGGCAAATTGGAATCACTGACCTTTTGATTCAAATAGACCTTTAGGTCCAGTGCTTATCCTACAATATCACACCAGGACTTCTATAGTTTATATTAGCATTGTTTTAAATTGAAGTTATGTGAATATGTACTCCATGTCTTAATTTAATTGAATTTTTTAAGGTATTTAGGCTGGTGGTAATTAGGGGAATAGTATGTGTGTTGTCATCCTTTACTCCACACGTCATTTAAAACAATCAGCAATAGTCTAGATAGAACCAAAAACTACTGCCATCAACGTCATTTGAAGACAAAAGAGCCTAGTGCATAGAGGATTAAGCATTGGACTAATAAGGTCAACAGTGCAAACTCACCAGCTGCTCTTTGGGAGAAAGCTGAAGCTGTATGATTTACAAAAATGTATAGTGCCAGAAACCCCATGGAGCAAGCAGTTCTTTTCTGCATTATAAGATTGTTGTGAGTTTACATATAGTGTATACTATTTTGTAAGAGGATGACCTAGTTGGACTATGCTAGTATTTGGCTTTGTGGAGTTGTTACTTGGAGAGGTAAACAGAAACCATGAAGGAATAATTTAATGAGGTTACCATATGGAATATATTACTTGCCCTTATTATTCTCTTCACCTCTCCTCCCCCGAGTATGGACTGCTGCCCATGTGCTTGACAGTTCAAATCTTCTACAGGGTCGCTATGAGTAGGAACTGACTCAATGGTACTAAGCATGTTTACCTTTGTAATTTGCTATCCTTTATCTTTTCAATTTCCCCACAAACTTTAAACACCCCATCTCACCCCACCGCCCACATATAAGGGTTGGCTTTGATTTGACACTAGGTAGTAGGATAATTTGGAGGAAGAAACAATACAAATATAAGGAAAATAATGAACCACCTTTGCAACAGGTGTAAGAGGCGTTTGCCTTTGGATATTTTCTTAAAAGTAATTTACAACCAGTGGTAATTTTACACAGTAAACATTGATGCTATTGTATAAATTACATTATTGCTACAAACAAATGAGTTATCAGTCTCAATTTTATATAATCCTATATGGCTTCCAAGGAGCTCTGGTAGTGTAGTGGTTATGAATCGGGCTGCTAACCGCAGAGTCGGGTGTTTGAAATTACCAGCTGTTGCGTGGAAGATGAGGCTTTCAGCGCCCATAAAGATTTACAGCCTTGGAAACCCTGTTCAGGGTCAATGAGTCGGAACCAACTCCATGTTACTTAACAACAATATGGCTTCCAACATATTAGCTCATGATTCCGTTTGAATATAATAATTTTACCAATATAGTTGGAAAATACTGGCTTTTCAAAATCTTGTTTATACCAGTACTTTTTTAAGTAGGATCAATGAAAGCTCCTGTACATTGCCTACATGCAATAGAGTGATAGTCTTCAATTTGTGGTGGGGCTATTTGTCAGCTGTCAGAATGGTTAAGATCAATACCTTAGATGTATCTAATAAGCAAAACAAGGTTCATGCTGAATCCTACTTCCTTAACCTTATTTTTTATATTTTTTGTTAATTATTATTTTGAATACTGGGCTTTTAAAACATAGTAAGGAGTCCTGATATGGTGCTATAGGTTAAGCACTAGATTGTTAACCACAAGGTTGGTGGTTCAAACTTACCAACTGCTCCTTGGAAGCCCTATACAGGGTTGCTATGAGTCAGTGCTGATTTGACAGCACTTAACAAAACATGAACTTTATTATGGGTATACAACTTATAAAAAATTATTAAATTTTAGTTTATTTGGAAAGCTTATACAAATAAGAGGGCTGTCACAGTTTGTATGGGTTGTACTATGCAGATCGACACCCAACCAAAGGGACAAGTACAGGTACAAATCCAGCCTGCAACCTGATCAAGTAATTAATATCTCCTGTCAAAAAAAAAAGATAAGACACCTGTTACTATAAATCAACGGTTACATTATCCTTTTTGTATAAAGAAGCAGTTACACACCTGTTCTTGTACAGAATGATAATTATGCATAACTTAGATTAAAAAGCAGAAGCAGGCTTTTACAAATGTTTCCACATTAATTAGCATGAATTTTATGGAACGTATTAGAATGAAGGAAGTCTGGTGTTGCCTTGTAGTATAGACACTGAACTGCTAAGCACAAGTTCAGCGGTTCAAACCCACCAACTACTGTTCAGAAATCAGAGTACCTATGAGTCAGCACCATTTTGATGGAACTAACAACAGTAATTAGAGGGAAGCAGCCTCCCAAACTATCCACAAAACATGTGCAAAGAGCTCTGGGCAATCAAAGATAAAAATTTTGTCAGTAAAACGTAATAAAAGCCTCCATGTAAGAAAACAGCAAGTCAGCATTAAACTCATGGCCTAGGGAAAAGATGAACAAGAACCAGACTAAGACAGACTTAGCCATACCACTTCTCATCTGTCAGTTTATTGTTTGTTCTGTGGTGTCTTGTGTTCTGCAGTGCAGGAAGCTAGGTCACTGGTATTTTAAATAGCAGCAGGGTCAACCATTGTTAAGTGCTGTTGAGTCGTTCCAACCCATAGCGACTCTATAGGATTTCCAAGGTGCAGCTAGTATGCTTGAATTGTCAACCTTGAGATTCAAAATGACTTTGCAGTCCAGCACATTCACAAATAGCAACACAGCAGGACTCCAGGATCACCCATTGTGAACAGGTTTCAGCTGAGCATTCAGATTAAGACTAGGAAAGAGGCAGACTACTGAATGTTTAGCCACTGAAAGCCTCATGAATAGCAGTAGAACACTTGCCAGTCCCCAAATATTGTCAGATACAGTGTCAGAAGATGATACCCTCAGGTTCAAAGGCACTCAAAATAACTACTGGGGAACACTTGCCTCCTCAAAGTACAGCTGACCTTGCTAAGGCTAATGGAGTCGAGCTTTTGAGACTTTCATTTGTTGATGAGGCACAACTCAAAATGAAGAGAAACAATCGCAACCATCCATTAATAACTGGAATATGGAATACATAAAATATGAATCTAGGAAAATTGGAAGTGGTCAAAAGTGAAATGGAACACATGAAGATCGATACCATAAATGATAGCTGAAATGGACTGGTATTGGCTATTTTTTAAATGACAAGAGGAATGGCATTGCATTCATCATAAAAAAAATTTTCAAGATCTATCTTGAAATACAATGCTGTCTGTTAATAGAACACTATCCATAAGCCTACAAAGGATACACACTGAACTGCTAACTGCAAAATAAGCACTTCAAAATCCCCCAGCTGCTCCTTGGAAGCCCTATACAGGTTCACTATAAGTTGTAGCCCACTGGATGGCATTTAACAAGGAAGATCACTTAACATCATGATT